CCAAAGAATTAGCAAGAAGGTATTCTTTTCAACATGATTAATTATATAGTAAGATGAAGAAAAAACTTGATGTAAACCTCTCTTGTATGCAAAACTGTCTCACAGTTCTGCTCGTTTTGTTTTAGCTGTGCTGTAGAGCAGTTTTCTTGCCAGGGGGTTATTGTGGAAGACCATGAAGGGCAGTGCATCTCATTCCCTTGAATGGGAACTGCCCTCTCTAAGGCTACAAGCCAAGGAAAGGAAGATCAGATGCAGGTTGGTCTTTCTTGATTTAAACTGCACCGCAACAGAAGCGAAATACCACTGGACTTCACTTGTGAGGGTCTTTTGCTAAGAGAGGCCTTAAGATTGTGTCTTCTTGGCCCAGAAAACCCACCTTGTGGGTTGACGGTTGGACTTGATGATCCTTGAGGTCTTTTCCAACCTTCATGGTTCTATGATTCTGTGATTCTAAGGCAAGAATAAGGTTGTTGTGGCAGTGGAAGAAAATGTTTCGGTGATAGCTGAATCTTCCTAGGCGGAACTTTGTCTTTAAAGCTGTCGTACGCTCTGTGTCTGTTCCTGTAAAGGTATGAAGAACTATGTGTGGTGAGGGAGCTGGATTCTTTGTGTGGAGAGAGAAAGTGTCTCCATGCAAAGTACTTACCGCTGCCCAGGGCACAAGAAAGAACACTGGACAGATAAACCAGATTCATAGGATGTATCTGTACTCCTCAGTGCAGCTCCATGGTAGAAACAGCCAGGCTGGAAGTAGCTGAACTAGCTGGTGGAGATGCTAATTTAGATCCCCAAGCGCTATTGCTGTGTTGGCTGGTTCAAGGGCTGCACCAGATCACGCTGTTCCAAACAGCACTGTCACAGCTATGCTTCTGGGTCAGGGAGCTCTACACAGACCTGTAGTCCCTAGGGTAGGTGTGCCCTTAGGTTGCTCTTGTTCTCAGAGATACAGTGAGCTAAATGGGAATGCAAGCTCCAGATCTAAAAACCTGGAAAGGAATAGAGAGTTACTGGTAAACAGATGATGTTTCATTAGCCGTAGTAATCTCAAAGCTCCAAAACAGCATGTTGACTGCAAATTTACCCTGAATCTCTGCAAGATATGTGGGTTGTTGTTGTATGAAGAGGATCATAAAACCAGATAAAACAGATGTTTTGTTTCAGTCTGTCCTAAAGCTGGTCATCAGATCCCAGCTGACTTTCGACAAAATATTTTTTCTTCAGCAAACCGTGTAATCTTTTTGGATTGATGGAGGCTTTTCATGCAGGACCTAGAAGATGCTATCCTAAACAGATGGATAACCTTAAAAGGTTTGAAGAGAACTTGACGTATAATTCCCTTCTCTCGTTTTTCTTCCCTTTTAATACAATGGAGATTATAAAGAGAAGGGACTGCAGAATGATCCCATGGTAACCAATTAGGTCTCATCAGGTCTGCAAAGGCATCCTGTTCTCAGCCTTATGCCAATGCGCTGTAACCCGTGAGCCAAGCTGAATTAAAGTCTTGTGATGTTTTGCTGGGATGTCATAATATATTTACCTTCCTTGTACTGAAGAATCACAGGTGGTGGTATTCATCCATGGATCACTCCTTGTGAACAAACTTGTTCATGTTTGCATAAAAATTATCTGCTTGTCACTGTACTGACGCTGGCCCTTGTCTGTGATATGTGACATGAATTCATTTCTCAACTGGTGCATTTAGGGAGTGCATTAAAGAAGCCACAGCAATATGTGATGAGCTGTAATTAAAATTACTAATGCATGGAAATTCCTGTCCTCCCTTTTGCTTCAGTTTACATTCTTCATGCAGACTTTGTTCACTTAGAGTGAACCAGAGACCTCGTGTTAACTGGTAACAATGATTTTTGCTTTCTCTCCAGCACAGTTGCAATGGGAAATAAATGCAGTAAGGATCCTTCCTGAGGTGTGACACTTGATATCAAGAAAACTGTGTGGCTTGCAGCAGGTGTGCAAAGCTCTGGTCTGTGGTTGTAGTGGCATCATTGACATGGTTTAGTGAGTTAGGTTGGACTTGATGCTACTTGAGGTCTTTTCCAACCTTAATGATTCTGTGATTCTATGATTAGTAAAGCAAATCAATGTTTTAGGTACAGTAGATTTAGATTAGACATCAGGAAGAAATTTTTCCCTGTGGGGGTGGTGAGGCGGTGAGGCAGTGGCCCAGGTTGCCCAGAGCAGCTGTGGATGCCCCATCCCTGGAGCAGGATGGAGGAGGCTGTGGGCAACCTGGGCTAGTGGGAGGTGTCCCTGCCCATGGCAGGGGGGTGGCACTGGATGGGCTTTAAGGTCCCTTCCAACCCAAACCATTCTGTGATTCTATGATTCTATGTAGGAGTGGTGGTTTTTATAGTCAGGAGCAGGACCAGTAATCGTGTTCTCTTAGTTCTGGTACAGTCTTTCTTTCCCATCTCATCCCTTCTTACTAAATATCTATGACTTAAGATGGAGGTGTTTAGAGGATTAACCATTTTACGTTTTATTATCTTACCTAAGGTGCATATGTTATTTTTAGTGATGCTGGAAAATGTGGTTTGGTGTTTAACTGTGAAAATTAATGAGCAAAATCAAATATTGAGAGAAATACCCAAAGCATCTTGATGAAGAACAATGGGTGCTTGAAGAAAGCTCTTTTATGATGCCAGATATATTCGGTATATCTTTCAATATTTTATTGCTAGCGAAATTTGTAAGTGGCTCAGTTGCAATTCTGAGTAAACAAAAAGTGGTTTTAGTTGATAGGTGAAAGAAAAGAAAATCATATGTTAAGATTTACTGTCCCAGCCTTCTGCAGTAGGAAATTAAGAATTGGGATGGATTTGTAATTGGGATCCTCTTGTAATTGTGTGGATATTGGAAGTCAAGGGATTGACTTCTTGAGGTAGATGAATATCTTAAATCAGAAAAATATTTTTCTGTATGAGGCTATAAGGAGTTACAGTCTGCACATAAATAGAAATTCCCCCTAAAAAAGCAAAGGGCACTCAAAGGCTGTCTGACCTCGTGGACCGGGGGCTGCAGTGGAGTCAGGACAGCATGGTGCTGTGGTGCTGGTGCTGGCCTCGTGCAGCAGGGTTGCATCACTGTATTTATGCCATTTTGCTTCTCTGAGCCTCTTTCCTCCTTTGCATTTTGTTGCCTTTCCTTGTGTTTTCTCGTACGATTTGCGTGCAGTTCAAGATCCATTCGGAAGTTGTTCAAAGTCATTATTCCTTTACCTTTTTTTGCTTCTGTGGGCCCAGAGCCCAGGCGGGAATTCCTTCTCCTGTATCATGACTGAACAAATCCAACTGGAACTTCTCTTACAATTATCGGTAACTTTGCCGATTCCTCGGTGCCTCCTGCAAATAAAACATATACTATATGCTATCTGAAGTACGTCTTCTGATCTGTTCTCCTCATCTCTTCTCATCATCCCTCTGATACTGTTTAGGGCCATGCTTCTGTTCCTGCTCCCTGACACTCCGGTACTATTTCCAACCATTCCCTTCACCATTTCCGTCTCAAATTGAAGGTCTTTTGTGTGATCTTTTATGACCTCAGCCCAGATGATATTTTTCTTGTCCTCCTCTTGTTCTGTCCCAGCCTGGTTTTTTGTTTGGTCTGGGGCTTTTGGTTTGGTTTACTTTGACCATTCACTTCTTTCACTGCACTTCTTGCTTTCAGGCTTCCACACCTGATAGCACATCTACCAAGTTTACATCACTGTTTCTGCTGTTCCAACACCCTTTCTTCTTTTGAATTTTTTCCAGCAAAACTTCCGATCACAAACACGCAAATAAACACCCTTTACTGAGCAGCCATCTGTTTTTTCTCCCAGCCTTATTATGGACAGTTAGATCTGTGGAGCACAGGATAGAGTTGTTGCCTTTTTTGATAAACTCCATGTAATCTTTGACGGCACTGCAAGTTATCATTAAAAGTAAAGATCAGGCCTTTTACATCTCTAATTCTAGCATGCTTTGCTGGGTACAGCTGAGGTAATGTGCTTATGCCTCAGAACTCAGTGTCTCACCTCTGGAAACAAAAGGTTATGACTGATAGAATCATAGAATCATGAAATCATGAAGGTTGGAAAAGACCTCAGGGATCATCAAGTCCAACCACCAACCCAACACCACCCAACACACTAACCCATGTCCCGAAGCACCACATCTACACGTTTCTTGACCCCCTCCAGGGATGGTGACTCCACCACTGCCCTGGGCAGCCTGTTCCAATGCCTGAGCACTCTTGCAGTGAAGAAATTTTTTCTAACATCCAGCCTAAACCTCCCCTGGTGCAACTTGAGGCCGTTTCCTCTTGTCCTATCACTTGTTACTCTAGAGAAGAGGCCAGCACCCACCTCACTGCACCCTCCTTTCAGGCAGTTGTAGAGAGTGATGAGGTCTCCTCTCAGCCTCCTCTTCTCCAGACTGAACCCCCCCAGCTCCCTCAGCCGCTCCTCGTCAGCCCTGTGCTCCAGACCCTTCCCCAGCTCCGTTGCCCTTCTCTGGACCTGCTTCAGCCCCTCAATGTCCTTCTTGTGGTGAGGGGCCCAAAACTGACCCCAGGATTCAAGGTGCGGCCTCACCAGTGCCGAGTCCAGGGGCACAATCCTGCCCTAGTCCTGCTGGCCACACTATTACTGATGCAGGCCAGGATGCCATTGGCCTTCTTGGCCACCTGGGCACACTGCTGGATGGGGGACGTACTCCATGACAGCGCACATGCTTCCTGCTATGCTGTGTGTTTTCCAGGTCTCAGTTTGTTTCTCCCTAGTAGTTCAGCTGCTGGCACTTGCTGCAGGTGAGGATGGACCCAGTGATAGCCAATCTCTGATTTGCGTGTGTATGCTTTTTATAAGCTAATTTTCCACAATCCAAAGAAAAAAAGGGAAACTTGCTTTTGACACACAATGCGTTAGTAGGAAACACAGCATACGTTAAGAGCAGTTTTATATTGAAACAGATCTCAGGCTTCCTTTTCTTTTTGTCTTGCAGAGGCAGGCAGCGGCCAAGATTATGTGACCTCAGAAAACCAGCTGCTTTACTACCCTAGTATCACCTATGCAATCATCGGTAGCTCTGTCATTTTTGTACTCGTGGTGGCCTTTCTTGCCTTAGTCCTGCATCACCAACGGAAACGCAACAATCTCATGACCCTGCCGGTGCATCGACTGCAGCACCCTGTCCTGCTGTCCCGGCTGGTGGTCCTCGATCACCCGCACCACTGCAACGTCACCTATAATGTCAACAATGGGATCCAGTACATGTCCAGCCAAGCCTACCACAGGCCATTGGACCTGGACTCTCCACCATCCTATTCGGAGGCTGTGCTTGATCAAAGGTATGTGCAGGAGCTAATTCTGTGCTCACCAGCGTTTCCTGATACTGGTTGCAGCTCTGTTAATCTATGTTTCTGTTCCCCATTTATATTTATTTTGCATAGGGCCAAATTTGGGGCCATCTGAGCTCTTCCTACATTTGAAGAATTTACGGTCTTCAGGTCCCCTTACTGTTACTGGTATAAGGGATTTAAGGCAAGCTTAAGTCATGCTCTCTTAGCATGTGTTGTTGGTAGTAGAGATTTTGAGGATGTCAGGAGAATGCAAGGAAAGGTATCACTTGTCTAATAGTGATATCCTGTGCCAGTCTGCATTCAAAACATGAAAATGGAATTTGAAGTTTTGACAAAAAACAGATAGGTTGTTTAAAAAAAATGTTACCCTGGTCATGTGTGATAAGTATATAAAGGTAGAAGGTCTTCAATTGTTGCATAAAGAAATTGTATAGTCCCTGTGCTCTGCACTTCTTTCCCTTTACCAATAGAAGAAAATGGAAAGTGCTGTTCTCATTTTAAATAACTGAAAGTGCTTTGAAGTTTTGCCAGTGTGGTTTGGGTTATGATGTTTTTGTAGTTACAATACTGGTCTTATTTATAGGTCATTAACCTTCCTTTTAACCTCTGTCTGTAAAGTCTATCCAAACAAAACTCGTAGACTGACATCCTCTGTACATAAAAAGCACATGGTGTGAACTTTGATGATCCAGATTGTTCACTGTCACCTTGTCGATATTTTTCAGTACGAACTCTGGGATCTAAGAATGATAGTTGTAATCATTTACATTCCTATTCTCTGCTGCATTTGGCAGCAGCTCCCTTGTCTTAAAATATTGACATTCATAATAATGATGCCTTTCCATTAGTAAGGACAACTAAATGAGCAGCTGTCCAAATTGTTGTAACTTCTCACCTGGGCTGATACAAACCATCAGCAGTTTCAGAGCTGATGGCTCCCAGGACCTGTTATCAGTCTGCTAAACCCTTCAGTCTCTTTACTTGTTTACTGTCAGAACCAAAAAAACAGTTTTCCTGACTCTAGTACTCATCCTATCTATGCCTACTTAGCAGTTGCTCTGCATGTGATATCATTACAGCAAAAGTGATTTGTCATGTGGAGGATTCAGTTCATTATTTATTTGTAGACCATAAGCCATTAATCTCTGTTACTTAATGGAGGTTTCCTTAGAGCTTTCTTGTGTTCACATCATTATTTATAGGTGTAAATCCACTACTTACCTTACTTCTTTTAAAGCACTTTCTCAGGCTGGGTAAATGTTATACAGGAAAAACTCTTACCTCTTGCAGCTGTCTTTGAGCGTAAGCCAAGATTTGTTGCAAGGGCATATCCATGAAAATCAGAGCGTAGAGTGTTGAGCAGGATGCAGTTAGCTGTGTTGCATCTTGACCTGGTGCCCAGTGGTGGTGTGGATGTTTTGGAGTGACCTGAATAATGTAGGCAGGTCTGTTTGAGATCTCCTGATAGGCATCATCATGGAAAAGCTAGGAAACACTGTTTGTTTTTTTTCATAATTGGAAAACTATGTACTTTTTTCCATACCACTGTTTTCAGTAATCTCTTGCTGTATTGTGTATCTTACAGCAGACCACCTTGGTTTGACCTTCCTCCACCACCTTATTGTTCTGAATCTGAATCCCCTAATCAGCCAGATCTTCCTCCTTACCAGTCCCGGACGGGAAGCTTGGTGAGCACAGACACCCCCATGGCAGGAAGCCCTCTGGGCACAGCCGGCAGTTGGACAAGAGACATCCATGACAGCATGGCTGACCACAGAACTCTTCTTGAGAGGAGAGCCGATCAAAGCGATTCTCCGGTCAACCACATTGCTGAAAGAGAATTGTAACTGCTCCAGGATTTGGGATGGACAGGAAGGCGTTCACTTTTTCAAGTCTTGTATGGGTTGATCTGCTGTGGCTAATAGGTTGCAGAGGGATATGTGCCTGAATGATGACTTGGGTTGAATCCACACTAAAGCCAACATTTGAATCAGCATTTTGGGCTCCTCAAAGACGAGAGCTGGGAGAGCTAAACCTAGAGTCACTTCAGCTCTGCACAACATTTCTGCGGGCAAGTTCTGGTTCAGACTAGTAGGAGAAACATCAGTGCTGTATCAAAGAACTGATGGGATGTATTTCTTGGACTGTGTACTGTATATGAATGTATATATGTGCATGTATAATATATACAGATGTTGCACACAAAGGACTCTTGTTTTCAGACTGCCTCCCATCCTGTCGACGTGGTCATTGAAGCACGTGAGAGGCTTGGAGGTCTGTTGTCCAATGCTTGCCCACTGGCAGTGTTCAGATTGCAGAAAATGTCCTCCTTGACCCTTCTTTTCGTGGCTTGGAACATTCTCACTTGTGCTTGTGAGGATGCAACAGCTCTCTCGCTGAGCAAGTGAGGGCTTTTTCCCAGATGCTACTATCTAGGCCAAGTTTGCCTGGGTTTTCTCAGGAACACCAGGAAGGTTGGCTTATCTGTCAGACTGCATACAGAGGCACTGACACTTCTCCACAAACCAGCGCAAGACTTCTTCTCAAGCATGGCAAAACAACATTACTTCATGTGTTCCTGCTTAAAAAAAACCAAACCAACCCACACCCAAACAACAACAACAACAACAAAAACAAACAAAAAAAAAACCAACCCACAACCAAGAAAACCCCAAACTGTTTCATTTCAATCTTGAATACCAAAACCAGCCTGAGGCAAACGCCCATCACAGAAAGCTTTAGTGTGAATGAGTAGTTTGTTATATTTGTAAAGGAACTGAAAGCAGGTCATGTACTGAAGGGTGTTGGGCTCGTCAGCCCTTTCTGCAGTGTGTATATGTACGCACATGGATACACGTGTTTAACACTGTGTGTATGTATGTAAGTAGTTGTGTTGCATAGGTTTAGTTCTACTGCACCAGTAGAACTTTAAAATGTCAAAGTTTCGCTTCTGATCTTTTCATTGGTTTTTTACAGAGTTTGCCATTATTCATGTTTATTTTTTTGAAATTCCAGCTTCTGCAGAAAACCAGAGTTATTTGTGTCTGTTTTCTCCTGACTCTTGGAATGGTGTCCTGTGAATCGTGTTTCAGTGCAGTGTTCCATCACCTATGTGAAGGCATTTCAGAGGGAAAGGTATTCAGAGTGGCAAGAGGGAAGGTAAGCTGGGAACTTAAATGCCACTGCAGTGCTGTGCTTGTGCTCAGTGTACAGAAACCAGTGCAGTGTCCTCTTATCCTGAGGGAACCAGCCTTGAAAAATTATTTCTGTTTGTCTGTCAGACACATTGCCCACTCTTTCTGCCATGTAATGGACAGTGTCATTAAACAGACTTTGCTGTTTAACGGAAATGAAGGAAGCTGGCTGCCCATACCTTCTGCTTTCTTCGTCCCCATCTTTCAAAGGTAACTTCTTTCACCCACAGGTTATATGCTCAGAACCTAGGAGTTTTTGAGCTTGAGTGTAGGTAGAGGAACGACTCAAATTCAGTCTCAGTTCCCACATGTACATGTGATTTGGTTTTTGGGATTTTTTTTTTTTTCCCCCCCAGTCTGGAGTGTACTGCTATGTAAGAGGCAGGGGCCAGCTGGCTTTACAAGCACAGGTCATTTCAGGACTGAGCTGACACAGTGGGGGGCACTGGAGAATTCTAGTGCTGATGGGATTGGCTGACTTTGGAAGCAGATTAATCGCAGCCTGTCTCAAAGGGCGTTGGTGGAGATGCTCCTAGGTCCTTGTAAAGCAGTGTACAGGACTGGGTCAGGTTTCATCCTTGCGGGGAGCTCAAGCAATGTAATCATGCTGTCTTTAACAAAGCAGGACTTGGCTCATTAATGACTCCATCCAACTTGACAGGCAGGCTGTTGTCATTGTCACACAGCAGACAGTTGTTCTTTATTTTTCAGGTCGTTAGACTCGGGTACGTAGATGAGTTACTGTAGTAAAGGTGGGTGCAGGGGGGGGGTCTCCTGTGGGCACAGGACCCTGGTGTCCCTCTTCTCTTTCATTCAGGTTCTGCTCGGTCTCTGCCAGAGAGCTACATAATGCTGCATCAGAATTAGCCTTCGTGGTTTTCTGTTGCAGTTTTGTAAAATGTTATGTTGGACTTTAAAACATACACTATTGAAGAGTTTGCAGTCGTTTCATTAGAATCAGACATCTTTTTAATTTTAAAGTTGCCTCAGGCTGCATTAGTGGAGCTAAGTCATCGTTTCCAGTGTAACTGAACGTGGCACGTGGCCCTCACGCGAGGGACTGCATTTCGCCACCTGTATTCTGAGACACCAGCCTGTGTGCAAACCAAATATTGTTTGCCTATGGCATCTGAAAAACATTGCCTTGCCTTGCAAAGAAGCAGGAAGAGAGTGGACAGTAGCCTACTTCTTCTGCCTTCTGTGTCAGTCACTGTCATGTATGTACGTATATATATATATATTTAAAAAAAGATACTCTTTCAGGTTGTATATATTAGTGTAACTTTTGCATTAAGATAATCCATTTGGACTTTACCAAAAAGAGAAGGAAAAAACGTTCTAAATGATGTGACGTTTTCCCTTCCAGCTAAGGGTGTATTTATCTTTGTATAGGAATCTTTTAGTTTTTGAGAACACAAGTTACAAAACAAAATGGTGCCTTTATGATTGAATGTTGATTTGGGAGGCTGTTAACTACATTTCTGGGTGTTGTTACGCATCCTTGTCTAGAGATCCAAAAAGAGAAACAAGTCTTGTCTTCCTCTTTGTTGTTACTTGTGGGGACCACTGGACATTGACAGTGCAGAAGTTCAGTATCTTGTTCCAAATAAGCATGCTAAGACTTGAAGAGAGGTTTTTGTCTTACACCAGTTTTCTGGTTTGTAGAACAGATTTGCAAGCTGGTGTCGTTTGCTGTAGTATCACACAGAAATTGTTTAGAATGTGTCACTTCTGCTAGTGTTGATACAGTGTTATACTGCATTATTCAGTGGAATCTTTGGAAAAGCATGGTAGCAAGAACTGTGCTGATTAAATTAAATATTTTATTGAAAATCTTGCATCGTGTAATGCTAAATGTTCATGAAATACCATGTAGTAGGACTCATTTGCAGCAGCCAGTAAAATTGGAAATGATCATTGCATTGTTTGCAGTTGCTCTTAACCTTTTAGTTTGAGGTTAGTCTTCCAGCAGCTTTCCTTTATTCTTAATATTTTTTAAAAATGGATGTTATTTCAAAGACCTATTCCTAGAAAAGTAAAACCAATTGAAGTTTTCTTCCAGAGCCAAATGCTGATTCCATATCTGTATTGAATGATGACCAGTGTAACGAGTCGTTCTCCTCAGCGCAGGTATTTGATTCCAACAAAACCATTTGAAAAAATGACTACTTGAGGTAAATGAAGGAATGTGAGTTAGCCTGTAGGAAATAAAGATTTGGGTTGTTTAAAAATAAACAAACAAATTCATTCTAGGAGTTCTGAGTGTCTGTAACCTCTGCTGAAGTCAGAGTGCTGTGTATTTAAAATTAGGTCATTAGTGAAACTACTTGATAATAATCTGAAGTTACTTGTAAGGCAAATTACAATTTACCTCTCTGGTATTGTGCTAATGGAAAACTGGCAGGAAAAGCCTGTGAATAATTTTTTCGGCTCTTGTCTACAGTGACGTACACGGCAACACCGCATTGCGGTTTTCAAATAACTCTGCGATCATTCTTCCTCTCCTTTTAAGTCAAATCAGTTTTATTTACACCACTTCACTTTGATACAGCTAATAGGGCCCTTGTGATAGATTTAGAAGCTGGGTGGAGGAAAGAGATGATGACTCTCGTTTTAATTAATGCTGCAGCTTGTTAATCTTGTGTGCTTTACTTTCTAGACATCTTCGGAAAGACAAATGGTTCTAGTAGATAAGAGAAACTATTAACGATGAAAAGGATAGAGGGACGCTGATTCTGAATTTAATTTGAATGAATATTTCAAATTGTATAAATAAAGGAAGAATTTAATACTGTATTTTTCATGTGGTGACCAGATGGCAAGTACTGTCTTTGACTGTTGCTCATAGGAGGCTACCTTGCGTATAATGCCTGGAAGAAAAATGGTGAGACAAGTGCTCTTCTTGCAGTTCATACTAGATCTGAAATATTTTTTATTAACACAAAGCTGTATTGTACCTGTGGACTAAAATCTCTGACTTCAGAAAGAATTTCAATACTGTGCTGGATTCTGCCAGAGTGTATCCCAGTACAGGACTGTGGCCTTCATTTGTTGTTTTCTTGGTTTTTTGGGGTTTTTTTCTGATTTGAGGGGTTTTGTCAAGTTGAAATGGTGCTGTTACATAGGAGCTTTAAGGGAGGTTGTATGTTGAAACCCAACCTTGTCTTAAACTTTTGTAAACTGGAAATCTTAAAAAATGTATTCTGTATTCCTGAATAAAGTTGGTGTTTTAATACTGTTCACAAGCAAGGATGTCTCCTGTCTCATGAAGTCTCAGTTGTTTTCTAGCCTCCTACATGAGGCTTCTTCCAACTTCTTTTGCATTCGGTGATAAGTTTTGTTAAATCTTTCTGGGTTTTAAACATATTTTTAAAACCAAGTGGATATGGGAAACCCACATATACCTATCTGTATAAAAATATACTGATACATATGTTTCCAAATTTATTCAAATGAAAATGACTTAATTTCATTATTTCTCATTCTCATTTTGCCATTCTGTTTGTACTATCAAACATCTGAAGCAGTCATGTTTTGTTGTTGTCTGCTTTGTATTGCAAAGCTCTGGAGGCGTCAGCAGAGATCTGTGCTGGTTGCTGTGTATGGATTTAGGATTTAGGAGCAGAGCTACGGGGCCTTTAGCATTAGCTTCT